TTATCAAGGAGACGGATCAAGTTTGCTAGTTTAAACATAGAATCTTGTGCCATATCAGTTATCGGACGTTGGCGATCATGTTGGCGATCCTGTTTTTATCAGCAGCCGCACAAAAAAGTGCTGCTGAGTTTTGTCCAAACCAGTCCCTTAGATTTTGAAGCCACAATGTTCTTCTTCTGCCTGGACCTCGTTTGCCTTCAATCTTTCCCTGGAGGATTAAATGGAGTATGCCGTATTTTTCTGGGTGTCGCATCACATGTCCGAAATATTCTAATTTTCGTTTTTTAATTGTTTTGATGATTTTCCTTGGCTTTCCCAGGTGGCTTATCACCTCCTCATTTCTGACCTTGTCAACCCAGCTTATACGTAACAGCCGCCTGTAAATCCACATTTCAAATGTTTCTAGTCTTTTCAGGTGGCCTTCTGTCTGAGACCAACTCTCTACTCCCTAGAGCAGGATAGAAAAAAATATAGCATCTGACAAGCCTGATTTTCAGTCTTAGGCTTATGTCGTGACTGCAGAAGACCTTTTTCATTTTGAAGAATGCTGTTCGGGCTTTTTCTATCCTTGTCTTTACTTACCTTATATAGAATTTATTTACATAGAATGTAGAGCTGAAACAATACCCTTGGACTGGAGTATCTTTTTTATTAAATGGTAAATCTTTCTCTCCCCCCCCCCCAAAAAAAATTCTTTTGAGTCAAATTTGACTCCTGGTGACTGTCTGGAGAAATCCCTGCAATTTTCTTGACAAATTTTGGAAAGGTTTGTCCTTGTCTCTTTCACTCCTTGAAAGAGAGTGACTGGCCCAAAGTCTCCCAGCTGGCTTTGTGGCTAAAATGGGGCCATAACTCATGGTCTCTCAGTTTCTAGCCTGATGCCTTAACCCAGGAGTAGGCAACCTTGGCTCTTTTATGACTCATGGACTTCAACTCCCAGAATTCCTGAGCCAGCCATGCTGAGGGGAAAGGGAGAGGTTTCCAAGCTGAGCCATGCTGGCTCAGGAATTCTGGGTGTTGAAGTCCACGAGTCATAAAAGAGCCAAGGTTGCCTACCCCTGCCTTAACCACTGTACCAAACTGGCTCTTAAGCGGTTCAAATAAGAATACTAGCACACATATGGATATTGTTGTAGAAGAGAAGTGAGAAACTGTTATAGAAATGGCTTGTATATCTGTTGTGTAAAAGCAAAAAGTTGTGGTTATAAGTTTGTTCCCTTCTACTGTGCTAAAGAGAGTCGGAAGTCAGTTCCTTTTTCTCTTTTTTTTCCTCCTTTACACTATCCCCCTTTTCTCCCCCTCCCTTTTCTCTTAGTTTTCCACATTTTTTTCCTTGTATTTTATATTTTGATAAAATTAATAAAATTTCTGAAAGGAAAAAAAAGGTGAGAAAACGAGGAAGTTGGCCATTATACAGGCTGGACGGTAGACTGTTTGTGTGACAAGGGCCCAGGAAGAGTTAACAATCCCCAGGGGGACTGAGTACCTTTCAGGAAGGAGAAACGAAAACACAGATGCACATCCTTCCATCCATCCATCCATCCATTTTTGCTTCCAGGAGAGCACAAAAAGAAATGTCAAGGAGATATAAATATATATTTCTTATTGTGTGGAATTTGTGCTTGGTTGAGTCATTCTGTGTGTCATTTCTCTCTCCCTCCCTTCCTTTTTTACATTCAGAGAGGAGGCTCAGCATTTGCCACCCTGGCTCAGAGTGATGAGGAGGAAGCAGAAGAAATCAAGCCCAAGGAAAAATCTAAGGTGCAGGAGAAGAGGAATGTTGAAAAATGAGAGCTGAAGTGCGCAGAGACCAGCTGATGGATAGATCACTAATTAAGTTCTGGTTGGGATTGTTTGTTAGCTGGTCAAACTAGCTCCGTTGGGTAGAATTCAGGGTTTGAGCTCATCTTTTCCAGGGGATGCCAGACCCTAAATATTGAAACACTGTTCTGAACTGGAAGTGATCTCTTAAGTTGCTGTCTTCTCCTATTCAATTTCCAAGGGTAACAACTGTGAAGGATAATAATAATAATAATAATAATAATAATAATAATAATAATAATAATAATAATAATAATAATAATAATAGGAGGAGGAGGAAGAAGAAGAAGAAGAAGAAGAAGAAGAAGAAGAAGAAGAAGAAGAAGAAGAAGAAGAAGAAGAAGAAGAAGAAGAAGAAGAAGAAGAAGAAGAAGAAGAAGAAGAAGAAGAAGAAGAAGAAGAAGAAGAAGAAGAAGAAGAAGAAGAAGAAGAAGAAGAAGAAGAAGAAGAGGAGGAGGAAGTAGAGGAGGAGGAAGTAGCAGTGGTTAATTGTTCTGACTGTCAGGAAGTTTCTCCTTAGTTCTAGGTTGCTTCTCTCCTTGATTAGTTTCCATCCATTGCTTCTTGTCCTGCCTTCAGGCGCCTTGGAGAATAGCTTGACTCCCTCTTCTTTGTGGCAGCCCCTGAGATATTGGAACACTGCTACCATGTCCCCCCTCGTCCTTCTCTTCATTAAACTAGACATACCCAATTCCAGCAACTGTTCCTTATATGTTTTAGCCTCCAGTCCCCTAATCATCTTTGTTGCTCTTCTCTGCACTCTTTCTAGAGTCTCAACATCTTTTTTACATCGTGGTGACCAAATACCATCTCTGTGGCATTATTGTCTCTTACCCTGCTAACTACAATACAAGTAGTCCTGGCTTACCGATCTCTCATTCAGTGACTGTTCGAATTATGATGACACTGGATGAATGATACTTAAACAAATATCAAAACTCCAGTTGTTGCTTTTGTCCCAGGTGGCGGGGGGGGTTGTCATAAAAGGGCCATCTTTCCCCACCCCTGATCTAGTGTGACAAATGATAGGGTGCTTTCATCCCCGATGAGCAGGAAGCAGACTATTTTGAATTAAAAATAGTTTCTTCCCTTAAGGAGGGATGTTTCTGAGTAGGCTGATCATTTTTAAAGGTTATATTTCAACAATTAGGTTATTTGCAAAGCTGGAAGAGAGTTGGAATTACTATTGTGTTTTTTGTTTTGTTTCCTTGCTTAACAAAATGTTTATGCCCATTTCCTTGGTTTTCATTTTAGGCTGGAGCCAAACAAGCTGCTCAGTCTGAAGAAACTACCGAAAAACCAAAAGGGAAAAAGAATCAGCCAGCCAAGGTAAGTGTACACAATCTAATGAAGAAGCCAGAACGGCCAGTTTTGATGGTTGTGTGGAAGGTGCGTGAGATTCCGTTACTGCTCTGTGTGCTGAGTATTGCCTTTTTCAGCAAGGTCAGAGCAGCTAATAATAATAATAATGATAATGATGATAAAGTTGGAAGGAACCTTGGAGGTCATCTAGTCCAACCCCCTGCTCAGGCAGGAAACCCTATACCATTTCGGACAAATGGTTGTCCAGTCTCTTCTTAAAAACTTCCAGTGTTGGAGCATTCACCGCTTCTGGAGGCAGGTTGCTCCACTGGTTAATTGTTCTAACTGTCAGGAAGTTTCTCCTTAGTTCTAGGTTGCTTCTCTCTTTGGTTATAGTCATAAGATAAGGAGATAGGTAATAGGAAAGATGAGAAGAATATTAGTAATTCAGCCTTATTAGGTAGTTTGACAGTGTTGTGGGAATTATTTGTTTAGCAGACTGATGGCATAGGGGGAAAAAACTGTCCTTGTGTCTGGTTGTTTTGGTGTGCAATGCCCTATATATAGCACGGGCGTCAAACTCACGACGTCACATCACGTGTCGCGATGTATCGCGACTTTTTCCCCATTGCTGGCAATGGGGTGGGTGCAGTTTTAGCATGACACATCCGGCCCGTGGGTCGGCAGTTTGACACTCCTGCCCTATAGTGTTGTTTTGAGGGTAGAAGTCGAAACAGTTTATGTCCAGGATGCGAGGGGTCTGTAGATATTTTCACAGCCCTCTTTCTGGCTCGTGCATTATACAGGTCCTCAATGGAAGGCAGGCTGGTAGCAATTGTTTTTTCTGCAGTTCTAACTATACGTTGAAGTCTGTGTGTGTCTTGTTTGATCACAATGCCAAACCAGACAGTTATAAGGGTGCAAATGACAGACTCAATAATTCCTTTGTAGAACTGTATCAGCAGCTACTTGGACAGTCTGAGCTTTCTGAGTTGGCGCAGGAAGAACATTCTTTGTTGTGCTTTTTTGATGACATTTTTGATGTTGGGTGTCCATTTTAAGTCTTGAGATATTATAGAACCCAGAAACTTGAAGGTCTTTACTGCTGATACTGTGTTGTCTGGTATTGTAAGAGGTAAATAGAATAGGAGGGTTTTCTCCTAAAATCTACAATCATTTCTACAATTTTGAGTGTGTTTAATTCAAGATTATTCTGGCCACACCACAAGGCTAGTGGTTCAACCTCCCGTCTTTATGCCGATTCATCGTTGTCTCAAATGAGGCCAATCACTGTTGTATCATCTGCAAACTTCAGTACTTTCACAGAGGGATCTTTTGAGATGCAGTCATTGGTATATATATAGAGAAGAGAAATGGAGAGAGCACACAGCCCTTGTGGAGGGGGGGCTGTGCTAATTGTACAGGTATCTGATGTGATTTTGCCTAGCTTCACCTGCTGCTTCCTGTCTGTTAGAAAACTTATGATCCACTTACAAGTGTTGTTAGGCACAGTTAGCTGATTCAGTTTAGTTAGAAGAATATCTGGAATGATGATATTGAATGCTGAGCTAAGGTCTACAAAAAGTACCTTTGCATAGGTCAGTGATGGCGAACTTTTTAGAGACCGAGTGCCCAAAAACCACCACCCCACCCTGTCCCCGCTCTGCCCTGCCAGCTGGGCCATCCACCACCTCCACGGCCCGCCACAGATGACCCAGGCAGCCCAGCAGCACCATGGCGGCCACGCCCTCCGCCCGTGCCCTGCAGCATCATCTGCGCGCGACGGGGCACAAGGGTGGAGTCTTATCCCCGCTGCCCGGCTACTATGTCCTTGGCTGCGCTGCTTTGTGTGGGCCGTGCCCGGGGGTGACTCTCCTCCAGGGGGGCTGCTGGTGAGGAGGGGGCCGTGAGAGGAGGCGGGGCTGGGGGGAGGGTGCGTGTGCCCACAGAAAGGGCTCCGAGTGCCGCCTCTGGCACGCGTGCCATAGGTTTGCCACCACTGGCATAGGTCCTTGGAGATTCAGGATGTTGTAGGATGTACTGCAGAACCATATTAAGAGCATCACTGGCCGATTTATTTGCTCGGTAGGCAAATTGCAAAAGGTCTAATTGTGGTAGTATGTCGAGGATCACCTGTATGCAATCTGTGCTACTTTTTGTGACAAGGACCTGTGGAGTTGCTGGAAGTGAGCGAATGAGAAACCCTTTCCAATATAATGTATAATGTGTTCTTTTCTTGATCTTGGCTTCTCCATTGTTGCAGAATATGTTTGCTGCTCTAGAGGCAGAGGAGACAGATGAGGAAGAGGATGATGGAGAGGAAGACTTCATGGAGGAGAAAGAGAAGTCCAAACAGGACAGCCAGCCGGTAAGGATCCAGTTCTCTAGGGTGAAGTATGAACCCATTGGTTTAATGCACCTTCCTCTGTGCGGCCCCTTCTTACGTATGATGGGGTAGTGTGGGTGATTTGGGAAGAAGAGCAGACCTCAGGAATCTGACATCCTGCAAGGTATTTCAGACATTTGAATGCTCTAGAGCAGGGGTCCCCAATCCCTGGTCCGTGGACTGGCACCAGGCCGCAGCATGCCAGCAACTGGTCCGCACAAACAAGCAAAGCCCCATCCGCGGGATGCAGGCAGCACACAAAACCACGCCCCCTCCGGTCCGCGGAAAAACCTCTCTCCACATAACCGGTCCCTGGTGCCCAAAAGGTTGGGGACCTCTGCTCTGGAGCTGACACTGCTGCCTTTGTTCTCCACCCATGTCAATCATGAATTGGGGAAAACATCTTAGAATTTTTGTACGTGATCATGTGAGGAGTGGGGGAGGGCAATCGAGAAATGAAAAGATATTATTTAAGCCTCTGCTCTTTATATAGGTCCATAATTTCCCCAAAATGTAAAAAAAAAAAGGACCATTTTAGTCCTTTCCATTTACAGGGACTCAGTACGTGTTAAAGAAAAATAGTTTCTGGTGCACCTAGATATGATGGGGATAGCAGCTCAGCCTGTTTATCGCTGCTCCATAAAGCTGTCAGTTTTTCCCCCTGGTTCTTGCCCTCTGCACTGTAGAGCTTTCGTCTGGGGAAGGACGCTGCTTGGGGGTGCCAGAGCTTGCCTTAACTGAGTTGGGCCATAATAAAATTTCAGTGGAAAACAGTCCTTAGGATCTGAGGAAGGCACAATGGGAACTCCACTAAATTCCTGAAGGTGCCCCGCCCCTGCCCTCCCCCCCCACTTGCCTATGAAATTAACGGTCAATCTACAAACTTGGGATTCACACAGGAATCCTAGCAGTTAGTGTAGCAATAGCAATACCACTTAGACCAGCGGTTCTCAACCTATGGGTCGCGACCCCATTTGGGGTCGATCGACCATTTCACGGGGGTCGCCAAGCAAGGCTGTCTGCCATTTTTTTTTCCCTTTTCCGGCGGGTGCCTTACCTCCCTTGGGCTGGGCCAGCTGGTGGTTGGCCTGCTCTGTCTCTGCCACTTGCCAGCTACGCCTCGGCAGGCGCAGGGGGCAGAACCATGCATGTGCGGCGCTCCCGGGCAGGGAAAGTCCTCGACTTACGACCGGTTGGGTAGTCCTCAACTTACGACCGGTTTAGTTCTCGACTTACGACCGGTTGGGGGTCGCGGCATTAAAAAGGTTGAGAACCACTGACTTAGACTTATATACCGCTTCACAGTGCTTTACAGCTCTCTCTAAGCGGTTTTACAGAGTCAGCATATTGCCCCCCAAAATCTGGGTCCTCATTTTACCGACCCTGGAAGGATGGAAGGCTAAGTCAACCTTGAGCCGGCCAGGATCGAACTGCCAGCAGCCGGCAGTCCGCAGAAGTAGCCTGCAGTACTGCACTCTGACCACTGCGCCACCACGGCTCTAATGTACTTTCTAATAAGATTGGAAAGACCGTGTAGAAATGTTTCCTAAGACGAGTCACTTGTGATAATAGAAGTTGAAGCAGCCAAGTAGTCAAAGCAGTCTATTGAAGTAAGATTGAGGCCTGGAGATGACATGACGGGACTTAATTCTGCATCCAAGCTCCAAAGATTTCACAGTAAACTCTTTTGGTTCCCAACATGATAACGTTCGGCTGCCGTGAACTGGATTCCTCTATACTCTGTAGGCATCGGAGGAGGAAGATGAGAAGAAGGAAGATGATCCCTATGCACATCTCAGCAAGAAGGAGAAGAAGAAACTCAAGAAACAGGTTAGATGTGGTCCTCCAGTGGAGGCCAGCTGTTACTTCTAATTTTTGTGACGTTGCTTGACTTTGCAGCCATAACACACATTCTTTTTGTATACTCTTATTCTCTTATCCCTGTTTTAAGGGTTTATAGAAGCAGATTGTACAAGGGAAGGTAGAAATAAATCTCACCGCAGTTGAGATTGGGAATAAACTTTGTCGTGAAATCTATCTAAAGAAGTTTGCGGGACATTTGAAATTGTAGCAGAAACATGAATCCCTAGATCCCATCTGATGAGGAAATAATAATAATAATAATAATAATAATAGTAATAATAATAATAATAATAAAGTTGGAAGGGACTTTGGAGGTCTTCTAGGCAGGAAACCCTATACCATTTCGGACAAATGGCTGTCCAGTCTCTTCTTAAAGACTTCCAGTGTTGGAGCATTCACCGCTTCTGGAGGCAGGTCGTTCTACTGGTTAATTGTTCTCACTGTCAGGAAGTTTCTCCTTAGTTCTAGGTTGCTTCTCTCCTTAATTAGTTTCCACCCGTTGCTCCTTGTCCTGCCTTCAGGCGCTTTGGATTCCTGTAGCTTCATTTCCTCTTCAGATAAGATAAGATAAGATAATCTTTATTGTCATTTTTTTACTGTGGGCACAACGGCACACATCAAAAATGAAATTTAGTTGCCAACTCTCAAAGTGAAACATACATGACACACACCTAAACATATTATATACAACATATAATAATAATAATAATAATAATAATAATAATAATAATAATAATAATAATAATAATAATAATAATAATAAAGAAGGGACCTTGGAGGTCCTCTAGTCCAAGCCCCTGCTCAGACAGGAAACCCTATACCATTTCAGACAAATGGCTGTCCAGTCTCTTCTTAAAAACTTCCAGTGTTGGAGCATTCACCGCTTCTGGAGGCAGGTTGTTCCATTGGTTAATTGTTCTAACTGTCAGGAAGTTTCTCCTTAGTTCTAGGTTGCTTCTCTCCTTGATTAATTTCCATCCGTTGCTTCTTGTCCTACCTTCAGACGCCTTGGAAAATAGCTTGACTCCCTCTTCTTTGTGGCAGCCCCTGTACAGACCCACACCCCTACATATACATAACAAATACATATTAAATACTGTCCATCTTGAATATATAATGGAAGGAGGAAGCTTGAGATGGGACCTAGGAGGTGGGTGTCTTCTGTTGTGATGCCTCCTTTTTGAAATGAACACCCCACCCCCAACATTATTTGAATGCTTCTGATCCTCTTAGCTTTCAGGAAAGTTTTAAAAATGAGTTATTTCCCCAGTTGTTGGGTCAGGAAAATAAATAAATAAACCTGTCTTCCGGAAGGTGAAGTATGTCTAACTGTTTGTTTGTCTGATACACTAAAAACTTTCATGTTTTTAGATTTTGACTGGTGTTTTATTTATAATTATTGTTCCCTGTTTGGTTTATACTGGGTGCACATTGCCCAAAAATTATGTGCCCAATTATGTGCATTG